TTAAGTAAATTAATTCAGTAGTATGAGATGTATTCACCCAATTTCGTTTAATTTGATGAACTGAATACATTTTCTGTATCAAATCAACAAATAGTTTCGAATGAATTCTCATACATGAAAATAATTTAATTAATTTGTCATCCTATCACTCGCTACTGGATAATTAGCGTAATAGTATTTTGCTTGATTTAATTATATTTTCCCATTTAAGTAGAGTTTATATACTATTAGTAATTCAGTAGTATGAGATGTATTCAAGCAATTTCGTTTAAGTTGATGAATTTAAAATATAGCTTCTGTATAAAATCTACAAATAGGTTGGAATGCATCCTCATAAATTATGATTTAATTAATTTGTCATCTTATCACTCACTAATGGATGAATATCGTAATGGTCTTTTGCTTGATTTTATTAAGTTTTCGCATTTAAGTAGACTTTCGAGACTACCAGTAATTCAGTAGTATGAGATGTATTTACTCTATTTTGTTTAAGTTGACGAATTGAATAGAGCTTCTGTATCAAATCTACAAACAGTTTCGAATGCATTCTCATACATGAAAATAATTTAATTAATTTGTCATCCTATCACTCGCTACTGGATAATTAGCGTAATAGTATTTTGCTTGATTTAATTATATTTTCCCATTTTAGTATTAAGTTTATATACTATTAGTAATTCAGTAGTATGAGATGTATTCACCCAATTTCGTTTGAATACAGCTCTCTTAGCATTGCTACTAGTAATATATAAAGTAATGATTTACCTTTCATTTTCATTTAACTCTCTCTCGCCACATTTACTCTCTTCGCACTCGTTGTCGATGTCGGCTGATTTTCCTATCCGGTCTGAGCTGTAGCGGCTGGGCACGGACAGGATACTTGATTTGTCGGAATGCGCTATTGCATCGCAGCTTGACGCCGTCGGACAAAGTTGTGAAGCAGAGTTGCAAACGAGGGAACGGTAGGTCGCGACGAGCTGTCGAAGGTTGTTGGTGGATGATGTCGGTTTGTGGGCAAATTTGGCCAACTGACTGTCTACATTGGCGAGGGCGAGGAGAAGACAGGATGCCTCAGGATTAGGGTGAAGCGAACTTGTAAAACAATTTTATCCAATCAGCTCCACTCTTATTCACCATTTGCGTAGGCCAATTTTCCCATCAACCCTTACAACTTGACACGACACGAGTTGATGTAGACACAAATCCGCTTCACCGCTCTCCTGACCCCAGCCACGATGAGCAAACGGTACCGTCAATTGGATGCACATTTCGTCTCGTCAACTGTGCCCTTTTGCTGTACAGCTTTTGCAATTACCTTCCGCTCGAGAGTCGAGTCCGGTAGCCGCGCAATGCGAAACCGACCCTCTGACGCGTCATTCAGAAATGGCGCTCAGTTGACCTTTTTGGACGAGCCTACGCAAAAACATGAAGACATAAACTTTCCTGGTCTGTCAAGGTGACTTCACGACCCAAATCTTTCCTCGAATATGCCTTCTCCTCGAGGGTGAACTGCAGATCTGATCTCGCCCAGGATAGGCGTCAAACGTGATTCGAAATCGGATCATGCGCCTCATCGAGACGACATTGCGTTCGAATGAGCAGCCAAAAATGTCACAGATTTACCCGACAGATTTGCCGGTGACCATATTTATAGAATGCTCGAGGAAGATATCGCATCCGTCGTTTATTCAGTTTATTTATTAACTTATGAAGATTCAAAGTCTACTCATATCGAAGAAAATTCGCCTCGTAGACTTCGGAAAAACACAGCATCTGAGAAGAAAAGTTGCGTTTTAAGGAATATCCTCTTTGACAATTTTTGTGATTGCCTACAGCTCGAGTGAAAGTGTTTGCGGGAAGAGGCCATCGCCAATTCCTCTTGAGCAGCTGTCGATTGAAATTGCTGGAACATTCTCGAAGATGCTGTTTCCGAGGCATTCTCTTTCCATTTCGGTTTAAAGATGATAAGCTTTCTTCCATCGCATGAAGAAATTCATCATCATCGTCACAACCAATTTCAACCTAACGAGTTTTCTTGACTACCA